AAAAAAAAAAAAAAAAAAAATGTATATATCGGATAAGATTGTAGCTTTCTCTGTTTTCATTTTTTCAGTTTATATCATGATTTATATTATACACATATATTTTTTTACATATCTTGCTTAATGTTTACGTTTCTCATATACTTTCTTATTATGTATTTATGGTTATAAATGAATATTTATTTCATTAGATTAATTCATCGTTGTATTAAAATAAAAATTAATTCTTATCGAGTTTTGTGAAATATTATTTCGAAAAAAATCAAGCAAAATTATTATTATATTATCATGACTATTTTAAAGATAAATATAATATAAAATTTTCATTCTATGCACATGTATATTCATTATATATTTGAGAATAAGATATAAAGTTAATAGAAATATGGATATACGTACGATATAGACGTCATTTATAAATAAAACATCTTTTCTGAAATGTAATTACCATTTGCAAATTTGAAATCGATCTTTCCGTTGTATGACTCACATTATAAGGAAACACGATAAACTTTTTTTTTTCTCTCTAAAAATTAATTTGCATAATACATATAAATGAGTATTTTAAAAAATATAAATCTTTTAATAAAAATTCTTCATAAAGATATAATAAAAATTATATAAGAATTTTATTTTATTTTACTTATGATTAATATTATTTCATTTATCTTTGATTCATTTAATTATAACAAAATTATAATTATTACATTCATTATTTATTATATTTTCTACGGAGAGGAACGAACGATACTTTTTTTTTCTATCGTTCGACAATTTATCAATTTCAACGAATAGACATAATAAAATTTTTCATATACAAAATTTGAGCAAAATATGATGAAAAAAAAAAAAAAAGAGAAGAAGAAGAAGAAGAAGGATAATTAATTTGTTTCGACTTTGAAGTTTCCGGAGGATTTCATGAAGATGATTGCTCTCCATTATTCTTCAACTATGATCGATCATATAATTCATGCAATCATTTAATTTGTTGCATCCTGTTCACAATATAAACTAAATATGATTGATTCAAGACGGTAGAAAATTCCATAATATCAAAGAAACGAAAACTAGTTAATTTTTCCAATTTTAAACCATTAAATTTTTATGTCTAACGATCATCAATACAAATAAAAAATCTGATTTTCAATTACACGAAATATACATATTCTCAATCTTAAATATTATTTCATTATAACAATTATATTATCATTATTATTATTATAAAATTTTCTTTCAACATTCATTTATTTAGAAATATAATTAATTGTTATATTTATTCAACTCGAAGATTTCGACCATTAAGTTTATTTCATTGATATTCCAGTAAATACCAATCATTTTTTTATTTTGTGCAATTCAATGCCGTGATACAAGTTTACATTGAGATTCCAAGATGACAGTTATTTATTTACTTCGTTAATATATCGCATTAAATAAAAATGTTAAAAACACAAAAAAGAAATTATATTGTAAAAGGCAATTTTTAATCTTGCATTAAATTTTTTCACTCAACAATATTTTATAATAAAAAGTTGGTAGTATTGATAGTATATATATTTGTAAAATTGAAGGTAAAATATACGAATTATCGCTTAAAAAAAAATCTTTAAATTTTCTTATATATTTATATATATATATATATATCTAGTTTTCTTTTCTTTTTTTTTTTTGTGATCATATTTCGATACATAAAATATTATAAATACATGTAAATAATATTACTGATCTTTATAAAAACTTAATTAATAATTCATGTTTCGAAACATGTATTCCTTGAATTTGCATTTTTATTTTAACTTAAACAATATTTCCGCACTTAGACTCTTATGATGTCTGAATATTATAAACGAAGAAGCATTTTTAAAATCTAGTTTTTGTATAATTGATTTTATAAAAATTTTCATACGAAAAACGAGTCAAGATAAAAATATTTACCGAATTTTTAATCCTAATTCCTAAATTAAAATTCCAAGATAAAAATAATCTTAAACTGTTATTAAATATCAATGATATCGTCGAATCAGAGAGTCACACATTCACAAATCGAGGAAGTACATACGTTCGGACGAGGAGGAATCAAAATGGCGAATTCCTCGAAGTGGCATACGCGTTGAAAACCACGAAGATACCATCGCATCTATTATTCCAAATGCGTATTTTCTTTCCACCGGCTATGCGTGTGCTATATACTCGCTCGTTTATTCCTGTTTATTCTTTCTTTTTTTTTTTTTCAAGAAAAAAACAGACGATTAAACGAAAACGATCCACGATATTGGCTCGTAATATTCGATGACATCGCCGAAGGACGAGTCAAAGTACCATTTCTGCCTTGATTAATCGCGTGCTTAATTCTTTATTTCTTTATTCTTAATTTCTTTATAATAATTTCGTTCAAATATTTTCACTTCAATTGTAAATATAAATTACTATTGTATGACAAGATTTTTACTTGTTTCGAGGTTGATCGTCTCCTTATCTTATTTTTTCGATCGAAGGAAATTTAAAATATAATTGACTGACAATTTTATATTTTAATCCGATAAAGATTTTGAAATATTGCTAATTTTCTACGATCAATCTTTTTTTTTTTATATTTGAAGATTGAATTTATATGCTTATATGCCAAAATTGAAATAAAAAATGAAGTACTTAATGTATTAGATAATAGAGATTTCTCTAAGAGAAGGGAAGAAGATTAATCTTATCGTATTTCAAATAATTAAGATAATCGAGTTGGCATTTGTGATACATTTATGTTGTGATTATAAGAATTGAAAATTAATCACGATAATCTTATTGACAATTGTTATTCTTTCAAGTGATCACAGATATCTCAAATTGCTCGTCGAAATTTTATATAATTACAATTCACACGCGAAAAATTCACCACATTTTTTCAATTTTTTCAACTTAAGATATTAGAAACTGATATATTCGAAGGAATAAATTTCGTCGTAAATAAAATCAACCCTTAGTTAAATATATCATTTAGTTAGATAATATCACGACATTTTCGTTTCATATTAACGTTCAGACAATGAGAAGTATCACGATACAAGTCTTGACACGATCACATGCTCAGAATTCGTGATCTGGATGCTGTAAAGCAAATATCATCGAACAACAACTGAAGAGAATTGGTCAGAGAGGGGGAGAAAGGTGGAACTATAAGAACTTGGGGCTAACCACAACAGTATTCACTTCTAGACCGACTATCTGATCATATGAATGACTACTTTGCTCTTGACATTCATAATCTTGTTCAGTTAGTTTTTAGAGATTGTAATATTTTATTCATCTCGAAAATATTGATTTTCTAAGAAGGAGAGATGAACAAGATCGCGCTAATCGGATCGATCGTGGTCATCACTTTTGCCACTGTTTTTGCGCGTGATTTGCGTAAGTGACATTTTTCAATTTTTTTTGCTATGCTTTTTAAATTGTTTCTTGAGTGAGTTTTTAATTAGAATCAATAATCTCGAAAATATAATATTAATATTGTTACATTTCGAATTCTTGTTGGTTTTGGTTCAGAAAAAAATTTTTGTAATTATTTGAGGGAAAAATTTAACGTTTAGAATTAAAATAAAGGATCAAACGTATAGATATAATAATTTTTTTCTTATATTATTCGTTTTAAAAAAATTGAAATTGAAATATTTACGTCATATTTCAATGATAAAACATTTGCATCAAAAAGATTTCAAAAATGTAGAAGATAGTTATGTTTTAAATCATTAAAATTTATGATCTTTTTTTTTCCATTTTACTTTTTTGCATTTTATTACCATATTCTTACCGAATTAAGCAAGTTTTTCCACTAAACATTTGATTGACATTTAATTTGATTATTATACAATTCGACATAATTGAAAGGAAATCACCTGATTCAATTCTTCATCATTATTATATATCAAGCAACAATTGCAAAGAAACGTATGTACGTATTTTTAAAGACGTGTTTCAAAATAATTGATCAGTATTTATAAACACTAATTTATAAAGTTTGTTATTTCTTCTTAAAACTGCCAAGAATATAAAAGATAAGATATTTATTCAAACAATTAGAATAAAAATCAAATAATCATAACCAATTTTTAAATTGAATATGAAATGTTAACAATGTATTATTAACACATTAAATGAAAAGAATATTTTCAATTTGATCAAATTATAATTTTTTTGAAAAATTATTAAATCGATAAATTTGAAAAATTTGTTACAGCCGATTTCATTCACGTTTGCAAGAAGAACGATCCAAATTTGAGCGAATGTATCACGGACAGCGTGAATTATCTTAAACCTTACTTAAAAACCGGATTACCCGAATACAATATACCCGCCTTGGAACCATTTTTGTTGAAGGAATTGGTAACCACGAGTGGAGGAAACATTAAATTGAAGCTGAGAAACGTCAATGTATATGGAGCAAGTAATTTCACGATAATGAAGTTGAAGTAAGTTAAAAAAAATTGCTAAAAAATTAATTTCACATAAAATCTAATGTTTTAAAATTTCAAAAAACAAATCAAATTAAATGTCAGAGAATCTAAAGAAACAATGTTACATATTTTGAGTATTAACTTTCTAAAGCATCTTGTTAAATTCAATTTTTAATTTTTATTTATCGAATTTAAGTAATTTTGATATTCAGAATGATATAATTTTATATATATATATATTTAAAAATTTCGAGATTCAGCAGAAAATTAAAAGAAAATTTAAATTTATGTTCTTTAATTCCATTGTTAACATTTAAATTATGTTAAAAAATTAAATAATGAATTGAATATTGAATAACATTTGTAAAACTTCTAAAAGGACCGTGTTTCATTCATTCAAAATTCTGAAAAATTTAATTGTTTAAATTTAATTAAAACTTAAATAAAATTGTGCTCATATTGTGTTACATTGTGTTTTGACGATCATCATTATTATTTTGATTAATTCATCCTTGATTTCTCTGTAGATCGTAAAATTGTTTCAGTAATTTGAAATGGCAGAATATGATTATAAACTAAGTCGATTAAATGGTTAATCGCTCGAATGAATCTCTCGAATGATTCATTTGTCAATTTATTCTTCATTTTTTCTTTTTCCTTAAAATAAAAAGAAATAATCTTGACTATTAAAATATCCAATATTAATTTACATCAAATTAATGTCAAGATAAAAACTATTGTAATGATTTCATCTCATTAAATATCAAAATAAGAAATTCTACAGAAATTCTTTTCCTTTCAATATCCGATACAAGGATATTCTTCGTTCTTGGTTAATGAAATTTTCTATTATCGTGTGTAATATTAGTTCCTTATTACATTATTGAATTTTATATTTTATGTAATGAATTATATAAGAAAAACTAATAACCGGTGATAAGAGATCATTAACTATCCGTAACAAAAAATTATTCAAGGAAAACACCATAAATAAAACGCCATTACATTAAACATACATATACATTAGAATTATGATAAATCGCGATCATTATTTATGATGGTATAAAATTTGCAAAAATTTTTAATTTCTTGGCATAATTATCTTATTTTTTTTCGCCATTATTATTCCTTATAGTTGATTTACCATTCAATTATTGAAATTAATTGCAAATCAATATTCAACGATGAATATTATTATTTAATTTCGATATAAAGTTGTATTTTAATGAATGTCATTCTAATTATTTGATGTGAAAGAAAAAATATAGATATAAAGGCACTGAGTAAATAAAAAAAAAATAAAAAAAAGAGAGAGATTACATAATATGTCGTGTAAAACAGAAATGGGTACATCATTATGTCAAATTAATGACATGTGTTACGAGTTACAGCGATGAATGACCTGTCTTGAAAATGAAGACATTAATCTAGTCAATGGGTTAAAGACATCCATGAAAATGATGTCGAATTCGAAAAATTGATTCGAAGTCCAACTTGAAATTTTAATATCAGAGATAAGATTGTTTAATTTCTCTCTAATTTGTTTAATAAAATTATTAATTTTCATTCAGAAATAAATTTCTAGGTTACTATATAAATTGTTATTCTTTTCTATATATTTTTTTTAATTATTAACTATTTTATCAAATTGGTTATCATTGAAGAATTATACAAATACTTCATTTATTATAATATCACGTTGTGATTTTGAGTAAATCTATTTTTTTTGCTAATTTAGGATCGAGACAATATAAATTTATTGAAAATGTAATACATAATTAATTATTGATCGTGTGACTCATAGACAAAAAAAAAAGTTTAAATAAAGAGATCCATCGCTTAATATTCCACGTGTGCACGAAGTAATGGCCATGACACGAACTCTTGCGGTTCTAGTTAGAAATAATTTGTATGGCGAACGTGATACGCGGATCGCAAAAAGATATGGAACCTACGGAAACAATCTGAACGGAAACGGTGAATGTCAATCGCGGATGAATCACTAATCAAAGAATTGTTATCGAAAAATTTCTTTCGAAGAAATTCGATACCAATTATTTTTTAAAAATTACAAACAATTTTCCATTTTCCAAAAATATAACCTTTGATATTGCTCGATCATTACCATAGAAAAAAAATGATCTCAGAACGTTATGTTATCGGTTAATTAATTATGACAATATTTGTCCAAACATGGAGAAGTTGTAAAAACAAAATTTTACAATCAAGAAATCCGATTAATTAAATTAACTTTAACGAAACAAATTTCCAAATAATCTTCTAATCAAAATTTTTTTTTTAATCATTTGCAGAAGCAACGTAGAAACTTTAAATTTCATAGTCGATTTGGATTTTTCAAAACTCAATATAAAAGGGGAATACGATGTTGATGGACAAATAATTCTGCTACGAATTCGTGGAAGCGGACCTATAATTGGCCAGTTCAACAATTGCAAGGCATTTGTGAAATTGCAAATGGAGGTGACAAAGGGAAAGGATGATCAGAATTACTTAAAACTGACCGATCTTCAAACCAAGATCTTCGTTGGATCTGGCTCCTTGAAGTTGGAAAATCTTTTCGGTGGTGATCCAGTTCTTGGAGATGCTATCAACGTTGCCATCAATAGTAATTTCGATTCTTTTATACAAGAAATAATACCTATTATCGAGAGCGCCATCTCAAATACATTTACTGATATTTCGAACAGTATTCTGATGCAATTCCCTTATGAGAAACTTTTCCCAGGATCATAGATATTTTTAGATAACGTGGATCAAAATCTTGTTGAACGATTGGATTGTATTATTAATATCATTAATGAAATTTGATAAAATAATAATTTTTTTTTTCTATGATGATAAAAAAAATTTGGTAGATAAATAAACTCATGAAATCTTGAGAGTAAATTTTAAAAATTTTTAAGCCTTTCTTTTATTTTCATTATGAAATTAATATCGTATCAAGTTTTGAAACATTAATGATGATTTTTTATGAATTTGGATTAATGGAAATAATACTATGATTCCAAAAATCATTTTGTGATTCTCTTATGGTTCACAATTGAGATTTGGAATAATTAGGAATTTGATTGATATGTCTCAAGTAATTTTGTAAAATTTTGTAAAATAAATAAATTATAATTCAATTATTTCATTAATGTTATTAATTAGGTAGTAATGTTTTGTTAACTGGTTATTATTTTCATTAAATATATAATATTTTTAACAAATATTTCTTTTATGATCTCATTACAAATATTCATATGTTATGCAATGGAAAAGAACAATACTTAAGATTTTCTAGAAATGTTGTATTTAAATATTTCTTTATATTGAATTAATAGCTGTTTAACGAAGCATTATATTATATATTATTGTATATTATTGTATAAGAGAGTTTAGATCTGAATTTTATTTTACATTCAAAAATGATAATTCATTTCATTTCTATGTATGTTCAATTTGCACTTTGAAAATAAGAATTATCAGTTTCTTTTTCTTTTTTTTTTTATGATTCACAATACAAAAAGTATTACTGTTCTTTAATGATTCTTCATTCTTCTGATAATTTGATTCTTGGACAATTTGATTGTTAATTAATGTATGCATTATAATGTAATGTATACGAGGTTAAAAAATATGCCAAATAAACAAATTATAATTATTAAAAGAATTTTTTATTAACTATTTAAAAAATTTTTCTTGGTTATCTTGTAAGTTGTGTGATTTATACATTGAGAAATAAAAATAAAATTCTAAGAAACTTTCCAATTTTGTAATAAAAAAAAAAAAATCTTGAAAAATACTAGGATATAGAAGATTGGAATATTTTTTAGATTTTTACAAAATTTTTAATCATTTTCTAACATTACAACTTTATTTAACATTACAATGACGCGACAAGTAATAATAACTAATATTCTAATACTTATATATTTATTTATGCATTTTTTAAATTATTTTTCCATTTTTTAAAATATTTAAATTATTAGATATTTTACAAATATAAATTTTATTGTATATTATTTCTATTTTTGCAATTATTTAAAATTGTTATATTTTTCTTGAGTCTTGACTCGTTGAATTTTATACTCGAAATCAGTTAGTTATAATGTTAGAAGGCAAAAAACGTATTCAATTTCGATTATTCGATTATATCTTAAAAATATCTTAAAATAATTGAAAAAAATATTTGATAGAATATTTTAACTGTTTAATAAAAAAAGAAAAAAAGAGTTAAAAAATGAAAAATCATCATACATACATCGTTGCAGAAAATTGTTGGCAATATAAAATCGATCAATGTTCTTCATTCTCTATCGGGGAGTAATTCATCAAAAGTGAAGTGTTTACAGAAATTGTTGCATAATTCAAGAGAATTTTTTGAAATGACCTTTTCTATATTAGGTGTGAAGATTTCTAATATCTCTTCATTATCAATCTTAGTTAGCGCTTCTTTCAAAAAGTCGAAAACATCCGAATCGAATTCGAAAGACAAGCTTCCAATGCTCAGATTTGGATTTATCGATTTGAAATAGAGATATTGTTTGCCATCGCGTTCTATTTTCTCCAAGAACAATTTCGCCTTTGATTTTATGTTTTCTGTAAACGAAATTTATTATCATTGTTGCATCCTTGACAAAAGTTTTACTTAGAATTATTAGAAATTGAATATTTTTACAAAAATATTCATTATTTTATACTACATTATGATGGTAAAATTAAAAATTGAACGTGATATAAAATTATTATCAAATATTTTATATTGCAAATTAAAAATTAACTATTATTAAATATAAATACACATATATTTATCCATTTTTTAAAATAAATATTTCTTTAAAAGTTATTACAAAAATATTTTAACTAAGAATTGTATCTTGAATATTTTTAAAAATTTAATGGAAAGTTAAAATATAATACATATTAAAAAATTATTATCGATTATTTCGTGTTAAGAATGAACAACCAGATCAATTGATTCCTCGATTACTTACCCCCTTTCAAAGTTAACTGTCCGTTTTTTTGTATAGGGATCAAAATATTCATGGTCATATTATAATCAACATTAATTTCATTTTTATCGAAATAAAAATTTATGTCCAATTCCATTTTCTCGAGGTCCATATGCAAATATTCTATACGAAATGTCGATAATTGATACAATTTCACGTTCGTGCCAACAATCTTAAAATTAGGCAAGTCGATAATCGTCATATCATCGAGCAAAAACGGCTCTATTGGCAATAAGTCTATTTCGGGAATTCCCTCAACAAGCTTCTTGTTCAAATTTTCAATGCTTTTGATGACGCAATCATCGAAATTCGGATTCTTTTGACCACAGATTTGGATGTACGAAGCTGAAAACCGAATACGTGATTTATTTTTGATATTTTTTCTCTGAAACGTGAAATTTTTTTTTTTTTTTGTTTTATTTTCTGAGATTAAACATTTCTATATTTCTTCATTCTTCTGATATATAAATTGTTTCTTCTGACATATAATTGTTCGGAATAAAATTTGAGGGAATGATTATGCGTATTCTAGAAAAGAGTTATTGAATATAATGACATTGAATTTATTCTATTTTATTTAAGAATAGAAAGAAGATACGCATTTCCAAGGGAAGTATATAATTTCTTTACAAAGAAAGTTAGATTCGTAAATATTATACAAATGTTAAAATATTAACAATTCTAATTCTATGTGATAGTTTCTTCCATAATATAGTTTGATCGATATAGAGTGTAGAATATAAAATGTTTCTTTCTTTATTTATTTTATATTTTAAAGTTATTTAAAATCGAGAAAATATACATTTTCAAGATATTTTGGCTTATAACAATTTTACTTCAAATAATTAAGATTCATTAAAATTATATGATTAAAAATTTATTTGATAAAATTAATTTGGTAACACGTTGTAAAGCTTATAAATATAACATTACAGTTTAGAATAATTGAGTGATCAAAATTTCTTTGTCTAATATTCATCTTGATTGTTTTAATTTTCATTAGATATATTTGCTTCATTGTTTCTATACAACATAGAATTTAAATGAAAAAAATGTTTTTCCGTATTGTTCGACCTTCCCTTGATTTAAAATGTGTAATCATTTCCAATGTAAAATTCATCATATAAATCGACTCGTTACCCAAAGTAAATCATTTTTTTCTATAAAGTACTACTTTTTTGTATTAAATTTATCATATTAATCGACTTTTATCTATATAAATTATCTTTAAATATATAAATTATTTTTTATAATGAAAATGAAATGGAAATTATTTGAAAATCTCTTCTTATTTTAATTTTAAATCAATTAAGAAAAAGATATAAGATAAAAAATATTTAACAAATTTTATTTAAACAAATTGGATCACTAAAAAAAGCCTATTCTTTTCTGTCTTATTCGATCATTTTGATTAAAATAGAAAAAAAAATAATTTTAATAAGTAATTTTCAGTACATATTCATCTATATATATATTTAGTTTTTTATTATTCTTCTTCATTTTTACATATATATATTTATTATTTAATTCTTTATACTATATTACATTTATAAATTATATTACATTTATAAATTAAATTCAATGCAAAATATTTCATCAATATTTTATTTTATAAGTATTTTATAAGTCTCATTATAGTTTCAATATAATCAATAATTCATTGAATTAAATTGAATCATTAAATTCGTCTTAACTAATTATAATTAATTACAATACTAATATATATAATGATAAATTTATAGAAATTTAATTAATTATATTTTTTTATATTTTAATTAACGAACACTTTTCAATTATTTTACATTATATTTTATATTATACACAAATATTATATCAATTAAGAATTTGAAGAATTCCAGAGATTTATTAAGATTCTTGATAGAGAACAGAAAAAAAAAGAAAAAAAGAAATAGAAAAAAAATTAATTTGACAATTTTGAGAATTTCTGGAATACAATTTTTAATTTGAATTCAATTTAATATTTTTCTTTTATTTAATTTTAATTAAAATATACTTACGAACTTCAGATACCGTATTTCCAATAATGGCTATGATTACAAAAAGATACTTGGCATACATTTTTTCTTACTAATGATTTTAACTCAACCGATTTAACGAAGAAACTGATTCCCGTTTGTTTTTAAAAGCATATTATATAGAGCTTCAGTAATTAAAGAGAATATTATGTGAATGATCAAGATATGGGTATTTGCATAATTATAAATAATTGTAAATTCATAGTCACGATTAAAAGCTATTCAAATTCAACACATATACAGGGTATTTATGTTATATGTGCACATATATTTGTAGATCTTTGGAAGGTCGATTCTACGTAAAAATTAATATGCAAGAAATATTAGTTGAGATTTATTTATTAAGATTCAAAATTATCATATTAGAATGACAATTTCAGATTTGAAATTGTTTGTTTTATAATTATTATTGAAAATACAAAGATATTTTTGTGAAAATTAATATTGAATTTATAAATTAAATTATTTAAATAAAATTAAGTTCAAATTAATATTGTTTCAAGTTACAAATTATAAACAATTTAAATTTGTACTAGATAAAGCGATGTTTTTTTATTGTTACTTGTTATTTATCATTGAAGAAAAAATATAATAGAGCTATAGAGATCATTTTTTTTTTTGCCTATTTAATTTTCATGTATTTCCATAAATGTATTCCAATAAATGTAAAAATTTATAAAAATGAAAATCTTGTGATTTTCATGAGAATCATGAGAATGAACTATGAATCATGAGAATCAAACGATAATATATCAAAATAATTAAATTATAAACAATCTTTTATTTGAAATATTAGAGAATTTATAATTTGTATTTGAATAATTAATTTATATGGATATACGTCGTAACTATTTTCTTACTGTATTTAAATATTGCGTAAATCTTTAAAATCACTGATCATGATGAAAAAGAAAAGTTGATTAAATGATTTTTTCTTTTCTCGATTTTATTTATTTTTACACTTAAAAACCTAATTCTTCTGTATTTTTTTGAGTAATTTATTATTAAAATAGTCAATAAATTAATTTTTAGAACTTTTTATCATCTGAAAATATTGAAATTCGATCTTACTTAATCTATCTAAATAAATAACAAATTTTAAATAATACATTTTATTTGAAATAAGAATAAAGAATAGAATTTAATTTAAAATTTTTTCCAAAAACATTACAAATATAAAAAATACAAAAATGAAATGAAAAATTAATTCAATCAACAGCCAAATAATGAAATAATTCGAAGGAAAAATCATTGATTCTTTTTCAAAATCAAAAAGATACGAAATTGATCAGAGATTTAATTAAAAAATTTAAATTTTCTTTAATTTTTCCTTTCAATTAATTTGTATCCATATGAAAGTTTTTTTTCTCCTCAAAATTTCTGATCTTTCTGATGATTAACATGTACACCTCATGCACGTATAATTAATCGATAATGAATTTATTTAACGAGTAGTCAATTTGTTTGTATTAAAATGCAAAATAAAACGAAGATTTCGAAAAAGATAAAAATATTAAGATTAAAATATTATACAGAAATATGATAAATACAGTATAATTCTCTTAGAGAAGTACGAAGGAGGGATAAGGTATAAAAGAAGAAGAGAAAGTGAATTGTACGAAGTCAGACGATGCTCGAGTAGCAGACGAAGAACTATGACTTGTTCTCTCTTAATTGTATACTAGCAACGAAAGTATAATAAGAGAAACTACTGAATTTACTACCGTTTCTTTGTTACTTATTATCTTTGTATTCGATGTTTTGAGTAAAAATTAAAAAATCTTTCTATTATTATTCTTGTGAAGAAAATGGTTAATGAGGAAACGAAACGTTCGTAGTCAGACGTGTCTACAATACAATGTATTGTAAGAAAAAGAAAAATATTTGTTTGATACAATTTTCATTTCCGATATTCGACGATATCAGAAATTGATTAAATAAAGAAATGATTTTGTATTCAATGTAAAATTTAAACAAATTATTATTCTTGTAAAATAAAATAAATAGGATAAATAAGGAGAAACGGATCGTTTCGCAGACAAACGGTGCACTATAGATGTCCACTATAATACAATCAAAAGTAAAGAAAAAAAAAAGAAGTATTAAAATAATTATCAACAATTCTTTGAGTTCAAATTGAAATTATTAAACGAATCGACTAAACCTCAACGAATTTTACCGATTAATTAAATCTTAAGAATATTAAATTAATATTTATTAACACATATGTCACAAAAGAGTTATTGAAACAAATATTTTCCAATAAAACTTTGCAACTCGATTAATCTGACACAAAAATAATTACGACACTCTCTTTCGAAGAATTCAAGGAAACATCTCACGATGTTGATACAAATTAC